GCTGAGCAGGGAGCCTGATGCGGGGCTCGATCCCAGGATCCTGGGATCATGACCTGAGCCGAAGGCAGACGCTTAACGACTGAGCCACCCAGGCGTGTTGGGCATCTTTAGAAAGCATTTTGGAAATAAAATAGATTGCATTATACTACCCTTTCACAATATCCACACCTGGGATACCTCATAACATTCATTACATCTCAGAAATGAGATAATGAATCTAAAGAATGCCAGGTAAATAACAAGTAGAATAATTAAGAGAACTGGGAGTTGCTGTTTGAAGAGTAAAAAGACTGCAGCTACTTAATGGGAAAAAGGATACAATCAAAATGCATATACTTATGAATATATTTATTTACCCAAACCCTGAATTTTAGAATAAGGGCATACCCACTATAGCTTTAGAGTCAGGTTTAAAAAAATATTAAGAAATATATAATAAGCATTGGGTGTTATATGGAACTGATAAATCACTGAATTCTACCTCTGAAACTAATACACTATATGTTAATTAATTGAATTTAAATAAATTAAAAAAAAAAGAAATATTAAGCTTATTACCCAAAGAAGCTGAAAACATATAGTTGATAGGTTCGGAAAGAGGCGATTCAAATATTTGGACTAGAGAATCACTACAGATTATTAAAGGAAACTAGGCAACTTAGGAGAACTGAATGTGTGACAGACACTTTTCTAAGCATTTTACATTTTATTATCATTATTTTTTTATTAATTTTTTAAGGATTTATTCATTTGAGAGAGAGCACAAGCAGGGGGAGAGGCAGAAGGAGAGGGAGAAGAAGACACTCTGCTGAGCCGGGAGCTCGACATGGGGCTCGTTTCCAGGATCCGGAGAACACGACTCAAGCCGAAGGCAGATGCCCAACCATCTGGGCCACCCAGGCGCCCCAGCACTTTACATTTTAGATCTTCACAATAACCCACTGAGGTAGGTACTATATTATCTCCATTTATAGATGAGAAAACCAAGGCACAGAGAGTAATTAGCCTAACATCCCACAGCGAGTGGCAGAGTTAGATTATAAATGCTAAAAAGGACAACTATATACAACTGTATATGTCTCCTGGTTGGATGAAGCAAAGTTTATGTCAATATAGCAGCTGTTATATTTATTTTAAAGTCAGTTTCAGTCCATCAAAACATATCTAAGAGAAATGTGAAGGAGGAAAGCTAAAACTATGGAAAAAGAACTGAGGGAGGAGACATAGTGGGAAAAGCACAGAACTTTGAGGGGTTTTTTTTTGTTTGTTTGTTTCATTTTTTAGATTTTATTTATTTATTTATTTGTCAGAGAGAGAGAGGGAAAGCACAAGCAGGAGGAGCAGCAGACAGAGGGAGAAGCAGGATCCCCGCTAAGCAAGGAGCCCAATGTGGGACTCGATCCCAGGACCCTGGGATCATGACCTGAGCCAAAGGCAGACGCTTAACCAACTGAGCCACCCAGGCGTCCCAGAACTTTTAAGAACTGAATTCTGTTCTTAGCTCTGACACAATTTGTTTTAAGACTGTGAACAAGTCACGTTAACCTCTTGGACCACTGTTTTCCCATCTGTACGAGGAGAGCTGTTGTCCTGTGATTTCTAAGTTCCTCTATAGTTCCAACATTAAACCTCAGAAACCCAGAGGAAAATTATTTATGTAGTGGAAACTCATTTGGTAGCTACTAATTGACAATTAAAAAATAACAGGTATTAGCTGATAAGTCTTTCAACCTTTAATATCTCAGACATCATACGTATTCACACCCAGTGACGTTTACTAAGATAAAAAATAACTCATTTTTCTTCTAGTTTTCTTTACTTTCTATATATTGTACCTGTTTTAGGATGAACACTAAAAGGGCTCTTCAGTAAATGATTGATTCCTTTGCTAACATTGATATCCAGCCGTGGAAAACAGTACTGGAGCATGATCTCCCATTCAAGCAAGGGTCCACATTTGTCATTTTTAGTATTATCCTAAAAGCAGATGCAAGTCTAGCATGAGGATCAGTAGGAACTTTTGAGGATTTCTTTAAGAAGTTAAAAAAATGGCTTTCAATGATCTTTAACTTACTAAGCAAAACAATTAGAATTTAATTAAGAATTACATTATTAAATTTATAACAGAGATTTCAATGGAATATACCTGACAGCTGATGGCTTTCTTCAAATATTCCCAACGCTGAAGTGAATTGTGATGCTTCTGGAAGTTTTGCTGAAGATTCTCATGAATTGGTGATGAATCATTAAGGAACACACTCATTTAGAGCACACTGATGAACAACTTAGTTTCAGTATATATTACCACAAGGATATCAAAAGTTTCTAGAAAGTAATTATCGTTTTCTAAAAAGCAAATATTAATTAAACACATATCCTTAAGAAATTCCCCTGTAAAAATATATAGCGATATGACAGAAAGAATGCCAAAATAACTGTATGGTTTAATGTAAAACCTTTCCCTGGTCTGTACATATTTTGACTTAATGATCCAGCATTCTTTAAGTATCCATTAATTCTATGAGGATCAACTTCCAAAATGAGGAAATTTATTTCCAAAAAGGTGTCATTTCTTTTTTAAAGATTTTATTTATTTGACAGAGAGAGAGACAGCCAGAGAGGGAACACAAGCAGGGGGAGCAGGAGAGGGAGAAGCAGGCTTCCTGCAGAGCAGGGAGGCCGACACGGGGCTCGATCCCAGGACCCCGGGATCATGACCTGAGCCGAAGGCAGACGCTCAACGACTGAGCCACCCAGGCACCCCCCAAAAGGTCTCATTTCTTACTGTATTCCAGATAAGACATAATAAAATGCAGAAAAACAGGAGATGTTTTGTGTAAAAAGATTAAACTTATAAAAGTATATGAGAAGGGCACCTGGGTGGCTCAGTTGGTTAAGCGACTGCCTTCGGCTCAGGTCATGATCCTGGAGTCCCGGGATCGAGTCCCGCATC